TTTTTTTATAATGAGTCTCTGATGCTGTATCATGGCTCTGATTTTATTTACTATTTAATTATGGAATAATTTCTTTTTTACTATTTAATTACTCTTTTCACTTAAAAAATATTGTTTTCTTAAAGCATGCTATTAACTTACTAAAATAAAATTTTATACTTAAAAACATTAACAATAATAAATTTATATCATTATAAAATTATATAAATTAATAATGATAAAAATATATATAAATGAAAGTGATAATATAACTATTAAACAAATATATACGTAAATTAAATAAATAAAAAAATAAAACAATTAATAAAATATTTTATATATAAACAAAATATATTTTTCGTTTAGATTACAATAATTTTACAATCAAATCAAATATATTATTATAAGTCTTTTTTTAATACATAAAAATAAAATTCAAAATAACGTTGTCAATTTTAGAATGAAAAATTTGTATGTATTACATTAAATGTTATGTAAAATATTATATTAAATTTTGATAATTTAATAATTAAATAATAAATTAGCAATTAAATCACAATTAATTAAATATTATAAACATACAATTATGTCATATAAGATAATCTAATACACGTAGCATTAAATTGTAACTTGACATGCATGATATTACTTTAATAATAGACTAACTCGATATTTAAAAATTAAATTATTTTATTCGTATAACTAAAACACTTGTAAGAACTCTGAACTAGAATACAACAACAAACAATTTTATGTATATATATGTATGTACGTATAATATATATTACAATCAAGGATTATACACCCTATTACTCTTTATGATTATAGTATCACATGAATAATTGAATAAACTTAGTGCGACAAATAATATATAGCAAAAGTTTATTTCATTTTTTTTAATTGTTTTTTATTCATTTAACAATAATTTTAAAATATAAATAATTAATTATTATTTAATTTTTATTAACCTTTCTCCACTTTATTAGCTAAGATAAAGATAGTATTTATTGTTATAAATTTAATAACACAGTTTTTTAATCAATTTAAACGTATACATATTTATTCTCATACGTATAGTTTAAATATATTTTATTTTTATAGTACATTTTTAATATATAATAGAGTGAAGTAATTATTTTTAATTAAAGTACGAAAATTTATTATCCTATTTTTTAAAAGATTCGGATCAATTAATAATTATTAATATACACAACTATAATAAACAGTTAATAATGGCGAAGCACGGAAAGTGTGACTCCGAAGCGAGGTAATGGCATTTAAACGGAAGGTAACGACTATTCAAACAAAAAAAAACAAAAAAACGGAAGGTAACGGCAGTTGCCACCGACGGAGTGAAAAGGATTATAGTGCAAATATAAAAAGTTGGTTGGCCAAATCACAATATTCTTTTTTTAACGAAAAAATGAATTAATTTTTTTTATAAAAAGATATAAGAAGTTTAGAAAATATATTCAATTAAAATTACAAAGTATTTAGCAAAACTAGAGTTTTAAACTATAAACTTAATAAAAATAAAAATTATTAATAATTTTTGTATGCTTACCTCGAAATAAAATTCTCATTTTGAAATTCAATAAATGCATCTAAAAATCCTATTAAACCCCAACATAATATGAACATAAATTTCAAAACTTTTAGGCAAAAACAAAATTGCTTGAAATAACATTTGTACTTTTACATGTTTTTGTACATGCATAGGTTTCATATAACGTAATAATTTTAATTCAGTTGACTTTTTACAAATTAATTTAGAACAATAGTGGAATAGTTTTTAAAAGTATAAGTTAAAGAGTAAGTGGGTAATGATGGGACAAGGAGATTTATTAATGGGTTAGTGTAGTTTAGGAGTTTTGTTTATGTTTTCAGAACGGGTAGCAAAAAGAAAGGAAGTGGGGCAACCATTCAATACACCTCAAATTTGCACCACTATTTAATAATTTATCTTTAACTTTTAATTTAAAAAAAAAAAGTATAATTAAATGATTATATTTATAAAATATTATAAATAATTTATTAATTATTTAGTTTTTTTTTTTTTTTTTTTTTTTAAGTTTGAATGGGTTGGGTTGAATTTAAAAGGTGCTTAAGATTGTTAAAAAAAATAATTGAAATAAGCATTTTTATTAATAATATTGTAACGCAGTGTAATGTAATTAACTTATAATGCATGTTTATGTAATTGATTGTATAATTGACAACATCTATGTAGCTATTTTCAAAGGACACAGAGTATGTCAAATTGAGTCGGTTGGCTGAAATCTTCTCAACCCACTTGTTCATATATATATATATATATATATTAAGAGAAAAATATTAGGATGTATTTTCAAACTAAAGAAATTTAATTATTTAAAAATATTTACTAATTATATTAATGTAATAAATTTATTTAAATTAATAATTTAATTAATATAGATCTATTAATACTATTGAATATTAATATAGAAATTATAATATATTTTATTTATTAATTTAAATTCAATTAAAATTATATAAAAAATTTTAATATATAGTCTCAATCATGATAAGTTAAACTAATAAGAATTGAATAAAACTCTAAGGATTGAAAATATTTTTATAGGTAACTTCTCCACAAACCTCTCGCAATGATTAGAAAAAGATACAAATAATAAACAAATGTAACATGATGTGTTGAAGAAAACAAAAAATAATTAGTGTAATGAATTTTAAATTATTAATTTAAATTATGAGATGAAATTATTGCAAATGGTGGGACAAATACGAATAAGATATGTTAACCAATAAAATTCTCTAATATTATTTATTTATTGTAGTCGCAAATGAATTTGTTTCCTTCTTCTAGTTTAATTGGTAGAATGAAATAACATTAAACTATAGAGTAATTTTATATAAGTTTATTTGTTTTTTTTTTTAAAAAAAAAAATTATTTACATACATGGTGTGTTAGTGCACAATTTCAATTACCCATATACTTTATTTTCAACCATTTAAATTTAAATATTTTTTGAGTTATTCAACAAATTTCTTGTATTGTTATTTTTTTTATTATTTCCATTAACATTTTCAATATTTAATTTTTAGTATCTATTCAATAAATATTTATATTAGTGTTGATAGAATTATGGGTTTTTTTTTTTAACATAAAATATAACGTATATATTTATTTCTATTAGTAAGAGTCAAATCTTTAATATTTAATTTAAAATTTATTAAATGTGGAGGAATACCAATTAAATAAATACGAGGTGTTGTGATATTTGATATATTTACGTTGGATATACAATTATTATTATTATTATTGTTTTATATTTTGATGGTAAGTAATTTCACTATTTTTTATTAAATTAGATATTTGAGTTATGAGATATGTATTTCTATGTATTTTTTATTATATGTATAAATACATGAATTTATATTAAAAAATATATATAGGAAAAGACAAATTAAATTTTCATCCTAACCCGTTACACTACCCGATCAAGATTACTGAACATAATCTAAAAGGTTTACGTGATGCCACGTGTAACGATTTCAACTCATCCAAAATTAACAAATATAGAATAATAAATATTCTACTTCCGTGCCAAAGATATATATACATATATATATATATATATATATACGTGTGTGTGGGTGTGTGTGTTTATAGGGAGGAGGAGCGGTGAGTTGAAGAACACGTCAATGTGTAGAGTAGGAATGGATTTTACACCCGAGGCACAAAATTTTATCCTTTTCGAAATCGTCATGGTGGTGGAGCCCACCACATCCACATCACATGATTTAAAAAAATAATAATAAATTAAAATAAACTAATATAATGGGTGATTATCTTTGACTTAATTATTGAATATTATATGCGTATTTAATTTTTTACTTGTTATCTGGACGGTCTTCTTGATATAAAGGGGAAGAGAAGTAAATCAATTAAAATCCTTCTCTCTAATTTCACATCATAATCAATGGATTTTGTAAAGTTAATTTAGAATTTCATTCTTCATCATGTTTATATTAAATTACTAATCATATTTAATGAAATTAAAATTTATTTTGATTTGCATCGTCATGAATGGTAACAAATAATTTACCGTGCATGAATGACATCAAAATTACACGTAAGACAATTAATTGATTAAAAAATGAACCACCTTTTTAATTTTTTAAATATTGTACCGTAAAAAAAGTAGATATTTCACTTCATTATCTGTAAAGTTGTACTGAATTATTTAAGTTAAAAAGTAACCCATTTTACAAAATATTGAGTAAAATATAAAATTACGACTGTATTATAAATTAATAATGATTAATTTTATTAACAAAAAAATTCATTTTATTAATATATTAATAAAACTGCAACTAATTAACTTTAAATTATAGTTAATTTTTCTCTTCTTTTCTCTTAATATTTACTTTATAGACATAATTTCACTTCCCCTCCCCACCCCCCTTTTTTTTTTATTACTAAAAATGAACAATCAAATTGTGTCTGATTGGATAAAATTTTAACTAACTAAATTTGAACTGATTCGGGTTTAGAAACCAAAAACTTGATCCAAATATATATAACATAATTTTTTAATTTAATATACACAAACATATATGTTCATAATAAATCAGGTCGTAGTGATCCATGTTCCATTGAAAACCCTACTAGAACTCGAACAAGATAAATTCAGTATATCCACCCAGATTCAAAACAGTTTGAATTTTATGTATTTAAAGTTGGGTTGGATTCGACTCGTTATATCCTGCATGCACATTGCGTTTGGGCACAAAGAGCTTTTTTACCCCAACATCTAAACCAATAATAATGTTTACTTCAAAGAGAAGCAGAAGGTACAAGAGGACATGCAAAAAGAGCAAAACGAGCATATAATTTGAGTCATATAAAAAAGAACATGTTTTCCTAAAGGGAGATGAAAGAACATATAATAATTCCGCAGGCTACTCACAAACTGTACCCTATTTTTATCTAAGAAACGACTTATGTCGAGTACTGAAAACTACATGTTCCCTCTACGAAATAAATCAGCTAACAAAAGATGACAGTGGTTCTCCGAGTCATATCAGGAATTACTTTGTTCAATAGATACATGTTATGTTATAGTCCCCCCCGCTATGGTTAATAAACTCAAATTAAAATTTCTATTTGCTAGCTCTTTTTCCTAGTAACAACAGAAGAGTTACTACTCTACCATATACCCGATACACAATAACTTCTCTAGTCGTCAGGCCTAAAAACGGAAAATGACAGACAGTTCCAAAGGCCAAGCTTAATTATACCCACTTGAATAAAAGGAAAACTATTGACAGTGGGATTGAGGTTAACTGGCTACAGTTCCATTTAGGACTCCAGAAAGAAACAAAAACAGAGAGGATTAAGATTACTCAGAAATGATATTAGATTGAACACGCCCTATTCACATGAAGAGACTATACAAAGATTCCACAAATGAATTTCTACCTGACTTCTTGTGCACCTAGAGGAATTTCTGAAGCCAGCTATTGTTCACCGCATCCTTCTCCAAGTCATCCTTTAGCTTGCTTACTTGCTTTAAAGCCTGCCTCAAGTCCATATTCTCCAATGGCAAATCTGCAAATGCCTTTAGAAACTGGTGAGCCCGGGCAGCACCTCTAGACATATCATCATCATCATTGCACTCTCTCTTTCTTTTGGATCCAACCTGCAAGTAATATTATCAAATAAATCAAACATGCATCCCAATAAAATACGCTTTTTAGGACTAATAGCCTTTGCCAGTAGTGAAATTTTCTTCTCTAGTAGCAAGCTTTGTTCCAAGATTTCATACTGAAACACACTAACTGTTCTGACCAATTGACCAAATTTCACAAAACAGAAAAAGAAAACTAGCCACATTGTACAACAATTTCATAGGACTTTCATAATTTTTCTTTTTCATTTTCTTTTCCTTTTCTTTTTGCTTTTTCTATGGCATTTTCCAACAACGAAAATAACTAGTTGCTTTTTCCATGGCATTTTCGCAAAGCATAGTTGACTTCACAAAAATTACTGATGTCCAGAAAGAAAAGTAACTAAGGAATAACAATAGTAAAATCGTGATTGGTCGAAAGTCATGTCTACTAAGAACAAACAATAGGTAATTAAAATTTATAGATTTAAATGAACCTAAAGTAGAACCAACTATCAACACAATTTGCTACTCATGGACATCTTAAGATAACAACAGACCTCGTCTCTGGTATCGTTCGAAATGATTGAAGATGGTGAAAAATCTTCCAATTCAGCAGCTTTTTCCCGAGCAAGGGCCACAACACTTTCAGGAAAGTTGGCAAATTCTGCAACATGAATACCAAAACTTTGATCACAAGACCCTGGCAGAACCTGAAAAATTCATCACATTGTGGAGGGATAAGCAAATGCAAAATTTCCCAAAGTATGTAGGTTTCACTATATACATGAGACAAAATAAATTATAGAATAGCTTAGCTGGACACTGTTATCATTTGCCTTCAATTGTTGCACCTCACCTGACTCACTCAGGCCTAGAAGTTAGAATGACCAATTCAAGGCTGATTTTATTTTACATGTGACATCTGAACTAAGGGCTATGCTAAATAACACCTATTACCAAGGCCTATTCCAAAACATTTTCAGTATTTGTTATATCCAGGCCTCCAAAGCAGTACCAGATCACTTATGTGTATAGGGGTGGAACTTCCTTGGTGCCTCTATTTATATAATTTCCTTTTTCCTCTAAAAAGGGTTCCTTCTACATACAACCTCTTCACTTTAGTATTCATGCCTATCCTCTGTGTGGGCTGATTTGGTTCATTTCTTTTTCAATAACAAGGACAGATTTGCATTGGAAATCCAATCTAAACCAATGCGGTGTGCAATATGCTCAGAGATAGAACAATAGAGTACGTGTCAAAAAGTGGGAAATATCTGTGGTGTATACTTTAGCTTGCTCAACTCCTCCTCCACCATCTTTCTGACAAGTTTCAAATTTAAAGAAATAAATTTTGGGAGATTTTCTATTAAAGTTACTGCAGGTTACAATAAAGGAAGCTGATGGTGGAAGCAAATTTGAGAGTGCTACTGTTGCTCCTCTACTCCCTGTTTTCTTCCTTTTCTTTTTCTTATTTTCCTCATATATTTCCCTCTAGCCTAACTAACTTTTGTTTCTCTTTCTTCCCTGTTTTCTATATGCAAATTACAAAAATACTCTTCTCAAGTGAATGTCTTTGCTGGCTTGGTCAACTAGCCAGCTCATCCTTCTCTCTCGCTCCCCTCCTATACAGGAAGTTAATAGGATACCTATCCTTCTCACTCTCCAAAAAATGGAAGATTAGAGAAAAAGGATAATACTGCCAGTGAAATCATGGACAAGGTTTGTTGCTTCAGAATGTAGAAGGAAACAAAGTGTTAAAAGTACAGAAAGAGAGAGAAAAGCTAATACGAATGGGTTAGTTTGGTACACAACTGTGACAGACATTTTAATTTCAGTAATTAAGTCAACTTATCATGGACTCGACTTAACTACAACAGAACAGGATTAGTTTTCTATAGTTGGTGGTCAGTAATTTTATGTGATATTCCACCTGGCTTTTCCTAATTTATCAGAAGTGTCAGTATACTCAAATAGTTGCTAAAGTTAACCACCTTTACTTTTGAAAATCTGTAAGTGTTGATGCAAAATAATAATAAATTGGGAAGCATCATAAACTGGCGGGGGGGAAAAACATGAGCCTCAAAGACTATTTCACAAGAACGAAACTTTTCCCACTCTACTGGTTCTTTTTATGAGCCTGAAAGGCATAATATGATGAATCAATGCGTGCACCAACCTTATAAAGCATGGTCAGCTTGCGACTTGATGAGTCAATATGAGCACTGACATGATAGTTTGCAACACCAACAATTTGCTGCTCATTGGACTCAGGATCAGCATTTTCATGGGCTAAGGCAGTCAACTCGTGGAAGTGGGTTGCAAATAAAGTGGGTGCTTTAATCACTTGAACCAGGTGCTCACATATAGCCCAAGCTAAACCTGATAACCACAGGAACACCTCATAACATGTCAATAACATAGTAAACTAAACACAGAATTCAGAACACACAGTTAATCCGGAGATTGAACAGAATATAGAGGTCATTATCTGCAACACAACATGCAGTGAGGTTATGTACTAAAAGGTAAACAAATTCACAACCACACCTGCACGTGACAGGTGGCTGAAAGGAGAAAACAAGATGGAATTTCAAAGATATTAAAGAAAGTGAAATCATTGTCCATCCATCTCATCGGTTTCCATTGCACCCACTGCAACTCTAAATTTGATTTCCTACTTCTCTATTAACAAATTTGCATTTTAGTTGAAGGAAATATGAGAATGTCTTTCTTCATAAATGATTACTTTTTTCATTCTAAAAATACAAGTGCCTTAACGTGTATTACTTTGTATTAGTTATAAAATTGTTTTGTTAAAAGAATCAATCTGAAACTGAGTCCGGTAGCTGCCTGTAGAAAATATTGACTGAAAAAGGCTAAAATAACAACAAAATGCTTTTGTCTCTGCAGACAGAACATGCCAAGGAAAAAGTCAGCTGGGCTTTAGGAAAGGTTTGAATGATATTAAATCAAGTCATGCATTAGATGCAACACATACCACATAATTATCATCTCTGGCAAGAATGAGGAGAAGGTACAAGCACATATATGAAGCACTTAATTTCACAAATATACTTCCAAATTGGGGGAGTATGAGAAAGTATAATATTGTTTTATGAACTTGAAGGTGTTAAACTAACCAAATCCATCATATGTTGACGTCCCTCTTCCCAGCTCATCAATGATTATCAATGACTTATTGGTAGCTCCTTTCAATATTGATGCAGTTTCAAGCATTTCTTGCATAAAGGTAGAAACTCCACGCAACTATAAGAAAAAGACAAAAACAACCCACAAATAAATTTTTGTAGCAAGGAAGAGCACAAATTGAGCAGTCCCTTTCATTTTAACAACTGTGCAACTTATGCTATTCTTGGGTGAAATAGTGAAGAAAACGGAAAAATAGCGGGGGTACTTGTCTCCTATTTCTATAACAGTAGCCATGATACATGATGCGTGATCCATAAAGTCATGTACGATTCAAGTTCAATCACTCTGGATGGACATTTGATGTTGATTTTTATAATAAAACTCGTGATAAGATCAAGCTAGACAAGGTAACTTGGTACAAACCAAAAGTGGAAAACGAAAATTAGAAGGGTCCCTATAGCATGTGTGGTGGCAGTATGAACTAAGCAACATGTCTGAACTACTTTGGCAGTA